AAGAAAAAGGAACAAGGGACTCCAGTCTGGTCAAAGCACTTTCTATTCTTTAAGCCTGGCAGTCTTTCCTGAGTTAAGTCTGTCTTCTGCCTGTGTTGAGGATCCTTCCTCCCCTTCAAACTACTTATATCCTACTCCCAAACTCACCGAGCTATAGACTCCTGAAGGAGGCTCACTGACCTCTGATTTCCCTTCCTCCACCCATAGGCCCTGGGGCTATGTCACCTCCAAGCCTTAGGATATCTCACTGCACTTCCCAGCTCCTTGAAGGCCAGGACTCTGAACTATAAGTGACATGCACTCAAGACTGGCACCCCATGAAAGAATTTAACCTGCACAACCTCAACAACATAAAGCATAACTCCGTCATAGACCAAATAGCCACCTACAGACCAAAATCTGCTCTTTGGTAAAACTTGACAGAGCCACACACATAAGGAGTTTCCCCTCTTGTTCCCTTCCCCTTCTTTTGTAAATATTTATTATTTTCCTTTTTTCTTCCATCAAAAAGCTACTGACAGAGAGCAAGCAGTAGTGGTCAGAGAAGGCGGGACTGAGCAGAAGCAGGGGACATCTGCAAGGGTTAAATATAACTTTCCATGGACACGAACCAAGTCTCCTTTGAGAAATGGCTCATGCCAGGCTGAGGAAAGGAAAAAACCTAGATAAACCAGGAATACCTTGTTGGGGCAGAAAGTAAAAAAAAATGCTCCAAACACAATGGGAAATGTGTCAAAGGGACACTGAAAAGAGCTTAAAGAAGCTCCCAGGGGCCAACTCTGGGACAAAATGAGCATCCCAATAAATAAGAATAGTGAAAGATGATAGCTCGCTGAAAACATTGGGAAAACACGAGTGCACCTTGTTATGAAGAGTGACGTGCTGATAAAGCTTAAGAACAACCCGCCGGGAAAGGCCACAGAAAAGTGAGCAGTACCGTGTCCCACTTTCCAGCCATTGCTCCTCTCACCTTGGCCAATTTAAAGAATCAACATGACATGAGGAAGCTGGAAAGAGTTGCACAAAAGTGGCCATGGGGAAGCTGAGCCAGCTCTAGCACATCCCACTGGAGATCAGTGCACAAATGAATAAATAAAAGGGGAGAACATGGAGCCCTCCTGACAGAATGCAACCATCAATGCAGAAAGAATGGTAGCATTAGAAATCCTCCCTTAGGAATCATCATAGCAAAAAGTAGTTCAGTTAAGTTGCATCGCCGTCAAAGGTAGTGGGTATGGTTGAGGGGAAGAATCAGATTTTACATGGTTTCAAAGGATCTCCACACCAATTATTTATGAATTACTCACAAAGGTTAGGGGAAATGGTGTGATAGACATCTCCAGAATGTTCTGAATCAAGTGGTTCAAGTTACTTTAACTAACAAAAGAAAAAGACATCACAGCCCAACAAGATACATTGGTACCACTGGCACCCATGATATTCCAGTCAAGGACATAGAATATGGGTTTGATCATGAGAAAATATTAGGCAAGCTCACAGGGGAAAAGTTGTGCTTCAGTGGAAAGCCATGCTGTGTCTATCACATCCTCTTCTGAGTTTTCACATTTTAGCACTGCTGCTGTCTCTCAGCTACTTCACAACTCTTTGCAAGCTGTAGGTAACCAACATCTATATATTGCCCTGTCCGGTAGTGATTTAATTGGCTTCCTCCCTGCTGGTGGAAAACCAGCTCGGCCACCATTTGTAATTTATTAAAACATTTCTTTGCTACATATAAATTTGTGCTCTTTTGACTTTTGCTTTGAAATGATTATAACATCTGCCTGGTCTCCTCGTATCATATGGGTAAAATAAATTCTTTTAACACATGTTCATTTATGTATTTGTAGGACAGACATAATTCTGCCTCTCCCTGAAAATGATCTTTAATATATTACATTTTAATAAACTCAACTGGAGGATACTCTATCAAATTGCTAACCTTTTATAATCTTTAAAAAAATGTCAAAGTTGTGCAGGAAGGGGAATGACCAGGGAAGAGATCCAGACTGAAAAAGTATCAAGGGATAGGACCAGTGAAGAGGGAATATAGTGCTACTACCGTATGTGTATGTGTGTGTGTGTGTGTGTGTGTGTGTTACTAGGGATTGAACCTTGGTCTTCACAGTGAGCCTCCCCAGTCCTCTTTTCACTTTTTATTTTGAGACAGACTCTCACAAAATTGCTGTATTGCCCAGGCTGAACTTGAACTTGTGATCCTCCTGACTCAGCCTCATACAGTGTCAGATACTTTTTTGTGGGGAGAGGAGTGGGATACCGGGGATCAAACTCAGGAGCTTGCACTTTCTGGGCAGGCACTTGTGCCACTGAGCTATATCCCCAGCCCTTCTTAGAGTGTTGGTATTACTGGGTTCCCAGCTAGGAGTTAGACCTTTTGCATTAAAGATGCAACTATTAAAATTGAAAAAACTGTGAGTGGCAGCTTTAGGTGAATAACAAGTGAGCGTTCTCTGTTTTCTTCTTGAAACTTTTCTATAAGTTTAAAGCTGTCTTGAAACAAAATGTGTGTGTGCACATACTTTCATGAACATGCATGTAATACATTAAGTAGTCATTGCAAAGTTTCAACATAACGGGTTTCCCTGTGCTGTACCTCCTGCAGCCATTCAGCCCTGGAGAGCTCTCCCTGCCCAGAGCACACAGGTAAACCAGGATGGAGCAGGTGTTTCCTACATCTCCCCATCACATCCTCATGGCTTCAGATTATGCAGAAGGAGAGGGGAAATGTTTTGCTGTGCTAGATGTGGTGTGTGTGTGTGTGCGCGCGTGTGTGTATGTGTGCTGTCTTAACTGGGATATTCTTTTTCATAGTACACTTATTTTTTAAAAAGAAATATGAGCAGAAGAGAAATGGTTTACAGAAAGGCTAAGGTTTCACAGCAGCCAAAACCCTCACCCCAGCCCATAGACTGACACGCTTCGTGCAGGCAAAAGATAATCTCGAATCTTGAAACTGGCTGCGTGATCCCTGTCTCATTTCAATGACCAGCAAGATAGACAGGGACACAGAGAAAGCAAAGTGGGACGAGGAGGGACAGAGCCTGCTTAAGGAACTTTCTGTTCCACCTCTGATGAAGTCCAAAGAGACAAAGCTCTTATCCTTATGATGCATCACCCTTATGATGCAAATTCCCCAGAAGGACCTTGAGGTTGGGTTTCCCAGGCTAGGCAGAAAACACCTACAGGGAAAGGGGCAGAAGGAGCTGGGAAGACCAGGTAGCCCACAGCTGGTGATGACTGCAAAGCCTGTAGCAGAAGCTTCTTTCTGGCTCAATCTGGGAGCTGTTTGCAACTTCCCACAGCCTCTGAGGAGCTGAGATGTAAACCTTAAGTTGTGTGAGCTGGGCTTTGCGCTGGCCCAGAGGTCCCAGAATGGTCTCTTGCAAGACCCACTGAATTCAAAAGCAATGATGAGAGTTAAAGCTGGCAAACATTTTCAAAAAAAAGAAAAAGTCTTTCTTTCAAAGACAAAATTTCCAAAAAGGTCATACACAATCAAAACTGTCATGTACATCTTTGTATTTTTCCCACACACCTCTCACAACCCCCGCCTGATACCTCCCAGCCTGGTGTCAGGAACATGCCAGCGCTCAAAGAATATACACTTTGCTACAGGAATAAAATCTACAAATCCCTTCCCAAGTGTGGGTGCTAAGCGACCTCCAAGGTACAGCGTTGTTCAGCAAGCATGATTCCAGGTGGACCTCTATTTTCTCAACACCTAAAAAATGAACAGCTCTGGTGCAGGTAAAGGAAAAATGATTTGAATAATGAAAATTTAATGTGAGACTGTGTGTGATGAGGACTTTTTTTACACACACACACACACACACACATGCACACACACACACATATACACACACACTACACCCAGCACCAGCCAGACTCCATCACTTATATCCTAAGTATGACAAAGTGGGAAGGGACTAATTATTTATACAGTTAATATTATTTATTTTGAAGACAACTACTTAAGGATTATCCATATCCCTGAAATAATTATGAAACTCCTTCCATGGATCTCACCTAGTACAGCCAAATTCCGGAGAAATGACCTCAACCAACTAGCACTTAAAATTCCCTAGATTACTGAGAACCCCTCAACTAATACCTCATAGCTACTTTTCCTAGGAATAAAGAAAACCTGCAGGAATGCCAGCTCAGTACTGGCTAGGGCATTGGAAACAAACATTCTTTTAGAGAAATGGGAGCCTGCAACAGGGCATTCCAGCAAGCTAGTGGCTTGTTTTCATTTTATAAGAGCTTTAAAGTGGACGTGTCTCCTCAGTCATGAATTTTATTCCAACAGAATAATTCAGTTGCACGGATTTTGCTAAAAGGGAAGCTGATTCAAAAAAGGTCAGGAAATAATTGAAAGTGACGTCAGTGTCCCACAGTAGGGGAACGGTTAACTATATCATGTCATGTCCTTCCAGTTATTATACCACATCTGGGATAAGCTGCACCTGGAGGAAGCTGTGAAAATGAAGTGATGTGCAGGCCACAAAAATGATGGGAGAATAATATTTAGGGTCATATAATATGGCTGGGCATAAAAAGCTAGTTAGAAAGAGTGTATTATTATACTACTTTTATAAATGCTGCGCATGTTGCGTGTTTGAGTGAAACACAAAAAGGACACTCACCAAGATATTCCAAATGATTGTCCATGGAAGGGGACAATACAAAGGACCATACCTTTTCCTTCTGCTTATTTCCATGTTTTTTAAAACAATAAGTAGGATTTTCTCTTAAGAGATGAAAGTTAATTCAAAAAGACTGAGTTCTTTGGAAACACATGAATTTCACTCTTCTCAGCGGTGCCTTCACCGGCTGGGGTGGTGCACAGCTTACTCATGCCCCAGCAGCGTCATTTTCCCATCACATTGCCAAGGCGGAAGGAAACCAAGTGCCCTGCCCTTTTGTTCTTGGAAACATTTGCCCCATTCTCTGTCCCCAGTGATGACTGATCATTTAGCAGCAGAGGGTTACAGAGTAAGCTGCCTGGCTGTTTGTGGGCGTGGAGGCACCCCACTGCGGTAAGCCTCCAACACAGAGCAGAATTTACTGGGTGTGGTGGTACACACTCATAATCCCAGCACTCTGGGAGACAAACAAAGGATCCCAAGTTCGAGCCCTGTCTGGGCAACTTAGTGAGACCCTATCTCAAAGTAAAAAAATGGAAAAGGGCTGGGATATATCTCAATGCCTGGTTTAATACCCAGAATGAGAAAAAAAAGGATCAGTATTATTCATTACTTTGGAAAATAAAATATATCATTTCTGAAAAATCTTTGGATAACCTCCCCTTTAAAAAAAAAAACAACACGTCTTGCCGGGCGTGGTGGTGCATGCCTGTAATCCTAACACTTGGGAGGCTGAAGCAGGAGAATTGTTGTGAGTTTGCGACCAGCCTGGGCTACAAAGTGAGCTCAAGGCCCCCTTGAACTGTACAGGGAGACCCTGTCTCAAAAAAATAATAAAATAAAATAAAACCATAAAAAACCACGCCCATTCCTTCCTATTCTCTGCCTTGTTCAGGTGGAAACAACCCAACTCTCCTGAACTTCGTTTCCATGCCTATGTTCCGATCAAAAAATGAGGAATGGAATTTCAAATTCCACTAGGATGGGGAAATTAAAGTCAGGTTTTAAACACTGCTCTAGCAACATGGCATGTCCCTGCTGCTCCTTTTTGCTGATTTTGCCCCATGGCCTCTCCTGGTACCAGCTGAAAAGAGGCCTTGAAAAGCACAGCCCTGGGTAATAATAAGCTGGAGAGAGAAATTTCTGAATCTCATTATTACTAGAAGCAAAGAGAGAAATTCAAGCTATGTTTCTTGTGTGTTTTCCTAAAAATTTCCACAAGTCCGGCTTCAGAAACCTCCAGCTTCCTTCCCCCGCTGGAATGGAGCCCAGGATCATGACTAAATAAATGCCTTCCCAACTGCAGGATCTGTTCGATTTGCATGTTTTCTATTCCAAAGATTTCTTGGAAATTAATTAAAGTCTTGCTATAAGTTCAGCTGAGCAGCCAGGTTTCCTCATGAGGGAAAATATCTTACTGTTTTCTTTTCAATCTGAGCAAAAGATCAGAAAAACTAGACGTGAGTCAAATGAGTCACCTCTTAGGATTCAGCGCAGCACCAGCATAATGATGAGTCCTTGCAGCCCTGTCCCTCTGTACCATCTGCAAAAGCAGTATGACTTTGAATTTGGGTACCGTGGGGGACCAGAGAGGTGACACTCCTCCTCAGAAACACAGTAGGATGGGGAAGTGTAAAAGAAAACTGCAAAACGGAATTTATCCAAGATCTACTCTTGTGTTCTATTTACCTGTCTGAAACATAAGATGTACATATCACATTGCAGTGGCTTCCTGGTTATTATAAATAGTTAAAATGTTAAAAATAAAAGGTACTCAAATGCTCTGAGTCACGCAATGAACTCAGACAGGTGCAACATGACAATGTGATTCCAGTCTGCCAGCCACAATTCTAGGTTTAAGGGACAGTTACTCTTTTGGCAGTTCTATGGGTTGAGATGAATTACACAGCAAGGCAAAAGGACTGATAAAAAGTGAGAATGTTAGCCGGGTGCGAAGGTGCATGCTTATAATCCCAGCACTTTGAGAGGCTGAGGCAGGAGGACTACAAGTTCAAGTCTAGCCTGGGCAACTTAGCAATTTAGTGAAACCCTGGCTCAAAAAAAAATAGAAGAAAAATCTTAATAAGATAAAGAATTGCTAGTTACCTTTTAAAAAAAAAAAAAAAAAACAAAAGTGACAGTGTTACTTTGAGTGCTACAGGCCAAATTTACCCGCACCCCTAAAATTCATAGTTTGAAGTTCTAAGCTCCAGTACTCCAGGATGGGATGGTATTTGGAGATAAAGCCTTTATTTAATGAGGGACTAAGTTAAAATGAAGCCATCAGGAAGGCTCTAAGCTCACCTGACCAGTGGGCACCTGTGACCAGCAACTTTGCTCACAGACAGACCTTAAGAGGACACAGGAGGAGGAGGCCATCTGCAAGCCAAGGATGGCAGAAGAAAGGTGTCTGCTGATACCTTACCTTATCAGGTGCTAGGATCTCAGACGTGGCTATTTTTCCATTTTGACTTAACATATTAGTGAACAATATCACAGCGGCAGAATCCCCCAAGGCTCACTGTGCCCCCACCCAGGACCAGCTGTGAGCTTTTGCTCGGATCTGCTGCTCTCTAAAGGTGAGTAGCAGCTCCAGTGGAGAGGGAAGGTGACAACCACAGCTCACACTGCTCCCCATCACGGGGAGCCAGGATGCAGGGCTGACGGACTCTGTCCTTTCCCTCTGCCACGGCAGAACTCATGCTTACCAACCTCCTTCTGGCAGTCTCAGCTCCACTCGCCTTCCACTAGCCCCTGAGGACTAATTCCCTTACTCCCAGAACCCCAGATCCCCAGGCCTGCGCCAAGCTGATGTTTTTCAATGCTGTTGGGGCAGAATTTCAGCCATCCTTTATAAAACAAAACAGTGCCTGTCTACTGCTTACAGTGATACTTTTCCAGATTGCCCAACCTTACCAGAGCTCTTGGATTTTATTTTTTTTCTCTTATTCAGTTCTAGGAATTTTCTCCACTTGTCTTTAAGGTAAAATCCTAATTCCAAACTCTAAAGAACATTCTTACATGGGGAATACCATTGCTAATCAAACATACTGTCTGTAAGAGATAAGGAAAGACTTTCACCAGTACCAGCTACAGGGATTAAATAACAGAGAGTAAAAAGGAGTGGGGGGGAGGAAGGCAGGGGACCAGACCGGTGTCTATCATGTACCATTAGGTACGGTCATCTGTTCAATCTGCGTATCGCCAAGTACCCAATGGCATTTATTCCCTCCCAATGAATATCTACCCCAGATCTGCACATTATTCATTCAGCGCATCAACTGGCCCAGTTTTAGACACTCAGCTAACTTCTGTCGACAGAACGTGACCACCGGGGCATGGGCAGCTCTGCGTCCTTCATATACACACAAGGGCCGGGCCCACTGGGCTCCTTATTCTTCCAGTCTCACAGGAGAACCTCAGCTGTCACTAGGTGAAGACCGAGGGAGATCCTCATGAGAGCAGCCCAGCCCCAACTCCATCATGATGGAGCTCAAGCCCTAGTTCACTGTCACATCCTCTGGGAGGCCCTCTGACATCTACTTGGGCTCCACCTGACAGGAGCCGGACCAAAGGAATTCTGCCTACACAGCAGTCAGCCCTGCTGTCTGGGAGACGCATCTTTTACAATTCTCCCATTTCTCACTCTTTTGTATATAGTAAGAACTCAATAGATATTGATTATATTTAATTTTAAATAATTAACAATAGGTATTTAATCATTCCGATGCGAAATTGTTTAAACAATTACTTCAAGGTGGTGCCTTGATGTAGTTTAGTAGCTTGAAAAGTTTGAGCTACTTAAGTTACAATCCCCTTCCTTGCCACTACGGTCAGAGCCATTTCCCTGAGTCTGGCCAAGTTCCTGGGGTCTAAGGAGAGCCTGTGCAAGCGTAGGGTAGGTAACAAACAGCACAATGGTGGGAGAAGCAAGAAAGGTGGAAGTCTGGATGAAGGCACTTACTCAGTGCCGCTCTCGACCATCTGGGTGAGCAGAGAGATGCCGTCCAGGTTGATAAACTCCTGGGCAAAGGTGACGTCCCGCGAGAGGCTGGCCAAGTCCTTCAGGGCCTCCAGCTTGGCGTCCATGCTGGATGACTGGATGCGCTCGTGGAGCTGCTGGGCATTCTGAGCCTCACGGGGCAGAAAGAGAGGGAAGTGTTCAAAAGGGAAACCAGAACCATGTGAAAATTAACACATCGCTGAGAAATAAAGGCACAGGGCCAAAGCCCCAGACCACATTCATACTACAGAGTGGACATCTCAAGAGCGTTTCCAACCCCAAAGACCCCTACAGCGCCCATCCATTCATGTCACTATGGAAGCAGCTGCGTGCTTTGGGAGAACTTGCCATTCCCATTTCAAGGAAAAGGAAGCCCAAGAATATTAAAGGCCCACCCAGGGAACTGTGGGAAACACACAGAATTTGTGTTTGGCTTTTAAGTACAATTATTATCTCAAGTGACAAAAAGCTACTTGCTGAGTTCAGCAACTACACAAATTTATGCAATATGCTCATTCACTCATTCAGATCAGAGTTCTGAGTACCAACTGTCTCACACTTTCGGTTCACAAGCTTCATTACACACCCAAGGAATCTCTCTAGGTTACTGAAAATCTTCCAGCACAGCATGAGGCTTTTACATTCCAATTTTCAACAACATGAGTCTCATACGCATTGGCTACTGACGGTGTGGATTGAAAACAAAATAATTAGGAAACCAAATTAACAATGAGGCCTAGAACTGGAGCTTTCTTTAAGACAGCAGTACATGGCTTCGGCATGCACCTTGGGGGATGTGAACATAGATCAGCAGAGCTGAAACTCTGGATAATAATTTGTGATTTATGTGTTCTGTTCTCCAGTCAAGGTTCCTATGTCACTTTTCAGTTGGGGTAGGCAGCAAGAAAAATGAAATACTAAATTTTTCTACTTGTGTATTTTTTTCTTAATAGAAATAACTGAGCATCTGCGGTAGCTATTATTTAACCCCAAATCTTCATCCCCATCTTTTCTCTCTCAGGCACCAGCTTAATCCTTGAAATACCTGCATTTTAAAGAAGAGGGAAAATGGGGTTTGGATGTGATCTGTCCCCCAAAAGTCCATGTGTTGGAAGCCTGGCCCCCAGTGTGGACATAGTAAGAAGGGGTTGGATTTTCCTATCTCTCACCATGCACTAAAGTAAAATCAAAGTGGATCAAAGATATAAATATTAAAATAGGAACACTTAATCTGCTGGAAAATAAAGCAAGCAAAAGTCTAAAAGACATAGATGTAGGCAAACACTTTATGAACAAAACCCCTACTGCACAAGAAATATCACAAAGAATCAACAACTGAGATCACATCAAATTTGAAAAGCTTTTGCACAGCAAAAGAAACAACAAAAAGAGTGAAGAGATAACTCACAGAATGAATAAAAAAGTTTACCAGTTATTCCTCAAAGAACTAATATCTAGAATATATGAAGAAATTTTTTACAAATCAGATGACCTCAAATGTAAAGACCCTACCAAAATAGGAATCTAAAATAAACAGACATTTCTCAGATGAAGAAGTACAAACAGGAAATAAATATACGAAAAAATGCCCATCACTGGTTAGTCAAGAAATACAAATGAAAACAACACTGAGATTCCATCTCACTCCAGAAAGAATGGCTATCATTAATAAATCAACTGATAACAAATGCTGGAGAGACTGTGGGGAAAAAGGAAACCTTCTCCATTGCTGCTGGGGGTGTAAAGTGGTACAACCACTGTGGCAGTTAGAATGGGGGTTCCTTAAAAATACTAGAACTGCAGGTTCCATTTGACCCAGTATTCCCCTTCTACATATCTTCTTGAAAGAGTTTAAAGCATCGTACCACAGTGATATATACACATCTATGTTTATAGCAGCACAATTTATAATAGCTAAATCTTGGAAACAGCCCCTATGCCCATGAAAAAATGAACAGATAAAGAAAATATGCTCTCTCTATACAATGGAATACTACTCTGCTATAAAGAAGGATAAATTGGAATCCTTTGTATGAAAATGGATGTACCTCGAGACCATAGTCTTAAGTGAAATAAGTTGAACACACACGTTTAAATATTGCCTTGTTTCTCTTGCGTGAGAAACCCAAAAAGTAAATGAGGAGCATAATGGAAGATATATTGGGAGGTAGGAAGAAGATGCTCAAATGAGAAGGGGAACAAGGCTGTGGAACAGGGTAAGGGAAGGAAAGGTACAGGGGAAAAAAGAAAAAATGGAAGGAGAAAATGGAAACAAAGCTTATATAAGTAGGGAGCAGAAGAAGGGTTGAAGAGAGGTGAGGGAAATGGAAAAAAAAAAGAATTGAGACTTGTTATGTATGGGTTCAAATTCCCTATGATGAGTGTGACCAGTATGTCTAAAAATATGTGCTAATAAAAAGAATGAAGTTTAGAAAAGGAAATAGAGGGCTCTTTAACAGGAGAGCCCTACTGGATGGTTAGCTCCAGCCCTGTCCTGGCCACACTTTGGCTTCCTGTCCCATGAGGCCTTCAGCAGAGCTCATGATGGTACCATCCCCTCAACCCTTCAGAACTATGAGCTAAGTAAACCTCTATTCTTTATAAGTTATCCAGCCATGGATATTCCATGACAGTACCAGAAAATAAACTAACTAACAAGAGACACTTGAGCCCAACAAGGGCAATCTCTTCCAAATAGAAACTGGAACCCAATGACAGGAAAGATGGCAGGATTAGAGGGCAGAGTGGAAGCAGGGAATCCTCACAGGGACTAAGAGCTGGAGGATCTACCCCAATAGACCCCACAGTCCCCACTCTGTGACCAGCTTCCTTACACTGACCCCAGTGAACAGCCCCCAAGGGAGAAGGGGACTCAGTGGGGAAACCAAGGCAGTTCCTCAGGAGCCAAGACAAGGAGGAGCCTCACCCCCACCACTTGCTCAGAGATCACCGGGCTCTCCCATTTCATCCGAAGCGAAGACAGACACCATGCATCAGAAAGTAGAAAAGAAGGAAAAGGAGATGAAGGAAGGGGTGTGAGGATGAGAGGATTTCTTAATGATTCACTGATTCTCAAATGATTGACAAGGCAGTCAAATTCTAAATGCCTATTTTAGGGGAAGGGTACTGGGAGTTGAACCCATGATCTTTAAACTAAGCTACTTTCTCAGCTCTTCTTTTATTTTTCTTACTCTGAGACAGGGTTTCCCTAAGTTGCTAAATTGCTCAGGTTGGGCTCCAACTTATGATCCTCCTGCCTCAGCCTTCCAGAATACTGGGATTACAAATGTGTACCATGCTTGGCAGTCTAATTTTTTTTAAAGGGGGAGCAGAGAACTGAGAGATCATTCATTTATCCTTTTAAATTGTTTAAAAATTTTCCAAAATTTTCAAGTGGATATTCAGAATCCAATGGATATTTCAAAATGTGGATATTTCCATGGATACATCAAATGCATGGAATATTTGCTTATAATAGTTTACCCAAGTGAATCCTTCGAATTCCTCAAAAAACATTTTGCAAGTAGAAACTCTGCATTTGCTATGTAGGTTATGACAGAAAGTACTGAAACATTTGCTTAGCATGATTAGTGATGTGAACATGAGTGATAAAAATGGCTGTCACACAGGACTTTCTATGAACCACTATTCTAAATGCCTTTATGAAGTAAACCACTTAATCTGCACAATCCTCCTACCATATAGGTCTGGTACTTTTTTTATCTTTATTTGACAAATAAGACTGACATGCAGGAAGGTTAAGCAATGTCCTCAAGATCACACAGCTCCTCAGGGCTGAGGCTGAGGTCCAGCCAGGGCGTAAGATGCAGAAGACATGCTCTGAAATTTAGATCTCAATTCTGCATGCAAGAAAATTTCCTGGATGACTTCTTACAGCAGACGTCAGGGCCCCCTCCACGGTCTGTGGTTTCTAAAGCCTAAGGTGAGGTCCCCCAAATTATATGTGGAACCAGGTCCCAGTCACTGTGGATGCCACGATCCCCAATCACATGCTAAATGCACTGCTTTCAACCACCCAGGGCTCTGTGTGTCCCAGAGATGACAGAATGATGTACATCTCGGCTTCTGCCTTTTAATCACCACCGTGACTTTCCTAGCTGGGGCACATGAATCCTGCTGGGTTTGCTGCACCAAAAAGAAAATCTGCACTTTAAAAGTTATATACTTTTCAGGAAGAACTTTTGCTACAAAAATAAATGAAAAGTCAATAAGATGGAAGCTAGGTAGATGGAAATTATTCTATCATTCTTTCTACTTCATTTTTATGACTTGGATAAGTTACGTATTAAAGGTCAATAAATAGCTAAAACTTAAAATAAGTGAAGGGAGACAACAAGACAAACTTGAAAAGGACAAGTATCACAACAAAGGAACCAGGACTGAGCACACAGTCCTGAAACCCAAGACTGCCAAGGGTTTGCTGCTAAAGAGAAAGAAACTATTTTATCAAGGTGGTCACACATCGGAGCAAGGGAGGAGCATCCTGCCTGCTGCAGTCCCATCCAAGGACCACTCTCAGTAACAGCCCTGAGGCTTGCACCAAACTGCACTATTCAAAGTCCACGGGTGCAAGGGGGAAGGAGCTGTCCTCAAGGAGCCAGGCATGAAATAGTGTCCAGGGGACATGAGTCTCAGGCCTGACCCCCAGTCAAAAAATTAAGGCTGGCAGGACAGTGTGAGTGCAATGTTTCTTCAGCTGGACAAGAACAGATTCGGGGACGTGTTTTCTCATCTTCTCTAATCTCTAAACAATCTGGATATAAAATGTTTATCACTGAAAATGAGTAATAAGAAAAGTTAAATTATTGAAATGTTTGTATTTAGTGAGGAACATTTCTATTTTGGACATCAGAGACTGCAGATCAATGTGATGGTAATTTTACTTAGCCTCTACTCAGACAAATCCTTACAGCTATCCATCCACAAGCAATACCCACTCTCAGAATCCTCTCTGGCTGATCAACAAGAACCTATGCAAAGTCTACAGCAGCGCACATGCTGCCAGGTTGCCGCCTTCCTGGGGCTCACTCACCTTGTGGTGGGAGGTGGGCAATTAAAAAAACAAAAGAAATAGGACAGTAAATACTGTACAGTAGACTGATGAGTGTTAGAGCAAAATCTAAAATAGAGGGATATGACAGAGAGTGACTAGTGATTTTTTTTTTGTTAGAAAGAATGGCCTTCAGAGACAAGGGACCTAAGGAAGTGACCATTAGGAGATTTGATTCCCAAGAAGCCAGCCGCACTGGGGTGGGGAAGGATGCTGGGCAGTAGGAATTGTTAGTGCAAAAGCCTTCTGCAAGAACACACCTGGATGTGCAAAGGGAGAGAAGGACCAGAGTGTCAGGAGCATGGGCAGCTGGGCAGGGGGAATCTTGGGTGGTGATGCTGAAAGAAGACAAATATCTGACACAGGTGTCAGTGGGGGTGCTTAAAATAGCATCTGCGTTCTAACACCAGACAGTACACTGCTCACAGTGAGATGGTAAGAAAGTGCAGGCTTAGATTTGACTTCCATACTTACCATCCTGGCAGGCAGATGAAGGCTCTGCCTGAGCTGAAGCTCCCTAAGCCTGCACTGCTCTGCAGCCTACACACTTGTGCTCATGCTCTTTGGGTGTGCTTTGTCTCTTTGTTTATTTAGTTATTTAGTGGTGCCGGGGATCTAACTCAGGGCCTTGTGCATGCTAGGCAACTGCTGTACTGTGAGGCAGCCCCATAGCCCTCCAGATATATATATATATACAGAGATATAGATAAATATAGATACATATCTATCTATATATATATATAATCTTTTTTTTTTTTTTTGGTACCAGGAATCAAACTCACTACCTTGTACTTGCCAGGCAGGTGCTTTGCCACTGAGCTATATCCCTGGCCCCTCTGGTTATATTTTTATGATATCCTGAGATGGATAAAGATAAGACAACAAAAGGATACACCCAAACTGGGTGCGGTGATTCACACCTCTAACCCCAGGTACTTGGGAGGATGAGGCAAGAGAATCATAAGTTCAAGCCTAGGCAATTAGCAAACCCTTTCTCAAAATTTAAAAAATAAAGTAAAAAAGTCTGGGGATGTAGCTCAGTGGGAGAGCATCCCTGGGTTCAATCCTCAGTGTCACAAAAAAAGAAAAAAGAAAGATGCACTCTTAACATAGTCACTAGACTGTCTAAAGACACAGTGCCACTATGTGCAAGGACTTTTACCAGAAAGGAATAGTGCCAGGTGTTTGTGTAGATCTTCTTATACTAATACTTTACTCCCTTAGGGGAACAATGCAGAAGAGAATGTTTTGATAAAGGAAGACCAAAAAATTAATTCATCAATCAACAGAAAGGAAGTGTGGAGATAAAACAGCACAGCTAAACATTAACTAAGAACAGTGTGTGTGTGTGTCTGTGTGTGTGTGTGTTAGCACACACATGCGCTCTTATATGGCTGCAGGCAGAGTTCACTGTAGTACATGAGGGAACTTTACACGCTAATATAACACCATTGGCTGGGTTCTTTGCGCCACTCTAATACTTTCTATCAGATTGCATAGAGACAGTTTTTAGATGTATTTCTATTGTGTAGCTAAAAAGTGAAAGCGTCAGCATACATGACCCATACCTTACAGTAAAACAAAATAAGTTTAAAAATCTACTAGCAATGAGTAAAGGTTACAGATCCCTCATATCTTGCCATACAATAACTTCCAATTCTGGATCCTGTGGCTATGGTCAAACACAGGGCAACTGCTTTAAATGCAGATCCCTGGGCCACTCTATATCAGGCCCAGACATCAGCATTTTTAAAGTTCCACAACTGATCTAGGTTTGGGGACCACAGCTCTAGAAAATAAAATAGTCCCAGCCAGTGATAAAGCCTTGTATGCAGGCTTTCCCACCTTTCCATCCATCCAGCTGGGAATATGAGGCTCCTTTGCTGCAGAACAGAGACCACCCCCACCCATGATGATACTGTCGTTACACAGAATCAAGAATCTCACCTGAGGATGCTGAAAAACCCTGCCCTGCCTAACACCCAAGTTTCCTTGAATGGGTGACTTATGTTGTGGCACTTTTGGTCCTGAACCCATACCAATCACAGAGGGCACGGACTCCTTTACTTTAGAGAAGGCCCAGATAATAAAGCTGAGCCTTCCTGATTCCAAGAAAAAATAAAAGTTTAGGTATACTTTCTGCCCAGCAAGTGGATGAGTCCTTTCAGCAGCATAAATAGAAACTGCCAACACCAAAGGCAAATGAAACCATCCTCCCTAAGGGTCAAATGCTCCCATCAACTTGTGCTGACTGAGGAAGCAGACCACTGCCAGGCCAGACCAGAAGGGCTCGGCCCACCACTTAGCCACTGCAATTGGGCACAAAGTATAATTTCCATTAAGGGGCGAAGGCAGCATCAGAAGAGAATTCTGCCAGCCCAGTAGCCCCGTCCTCCGAGCTCATCATTGTGTTTAGGTTCAAGATGTTATGGGGTAAAAAATGCTGAAGAGTTTTTAAGCCTTTCAAATGTAATTTTCAACAAGAAAAATTTGTGGTGGTTACAGTACCCAAGGTTTAATTCTAGCCAGATGCTTCTCCCAGTTTTTTTAAAACTATTTTTAGCCTTCCACATGGCTTCAGTGGAAAGTGGAAATGATAGTTAGATGCAGTTTTCATCACATATGCCGTGTGAAAATAGTAACACTTGGTGTATTTTGTGTAGCTTACTTTTTTTAGGAAAGCAAAAATAAGATGAACTGTGAAATAATAGACTTTAAATATGCTAATGTCACTATCCAGAGTCTCTATAAGCAAGTGAGAAAGACCAAAATAAGCAAGACAGCCGGCATGGTCTCAGTATATTGTGGCGTCATGTTTAGCAGCTTTTATTCAGAGGCTTTTAGGTGTTTTATCTAGAATTGGCTGTCAGCGAAACAGCCCAAGTAGCCAATATTTTTGAATTGTAGTTTTTAAAAATTATCATCATAAGCAACCAAAGCTAGGAAACACATTTTCTTACACACACACACACACACACACACACACACACACACACATTCTTCCTCCCCTCCCCCTCCTCTCCCTCTCCCTGTCTTTCTGACTTTGAAGGGAAGTAACAGGCTGTCCTGGCTTGGTTTGCTGTATTTGTCCTACAAACTTGCTAAATTGGAATTAGTTGAATGGGTGGGCAAGTGGGCAAAACCAATCAGTACAGCTCAGTTCTCTCATCTGTAATAGAACTTATTCAGATTCACAGGCAACTTAATATTTTAAAGCCTCAAAGTGGATTGCTTGCCCTTAACTTGGCACAAGCATTCCTCCTCTGTGGTGGGAATTTGGGAGAGAGGATTCCTGCTAATGTGGCATCTTCAGGTAAGGACACTCACCAACTGTTTGTTTTACACTGAAGTCACCCACAGAAGCCAGTATCCCATAACCGACAGCACAGCAAAAAACAGTTTATTAGGAAGTTATACACTAAGATCAACTTACTGGAGATGTGGTTAATCGAAGGATAGTGCCATTTTTTATTTCATTGCGATTCTGGAAAAGAAAACAAAAAAGTCCTGGTAAGTTCTCAAGTAGAAACTTGTGACAGAAGAGAAGAAAAGCAAATATAATCTTGTACTCTACAAGATAAGCATTCTTATGAGTCACTTCATTCTTATTTAAATCATTGTCAATGATTTCTACAAAGAATTTTAACTTGGGTCCCAGATGTGTTAATTTTAACTCACAGACAATATTCACTACAGAGGAAGTAAATATAAACCCAAACATGTAGGGCCCAAGAACAGCAAACAAAAATGTAATTACAGTGGCACACACCTGTAACCCCAGCACTCTGAGAAGCGGAGGCAGGAGGATCATAACTTTGAGCTCAGCATGGGCAATTTAACAACTTAGAAAGATACTCCCTCAAAAATAAATAAATAAAGATAGCCCAGGTTGACCTTAAACTCACAGAGATCTTCCTGTCTTGGTCTCTGGAGTGCTGGGATTACAGGCATGCACAACAACACTTGGCTTTTTTATTTTTTGGGACATAGTATCTCACTATATAATCCAAACTGTCTTTGAAATCACTATGTGGCCCCAGCTGGTCTGAACTTAAGATCCTCCTGCCTCAGTCTCCTGAATGTTGGGATAACAGGTGTCAGCCATTATGCCCAGTACATTTTAAAACAACATTTACATAGAGAAATTGTGGAATGGGAAGATGAAAACTCAGCCTGTCTGAGATTTGGAATCCAAACACTGAAAAATAACAACTTGGGGGGGAAAAGAGAGAGAAAAAAATCCCCAGAAACCAGGAATGACCTGACAGAAAAACTAAAATCTACAGAGAATTTGAAAAGACAAAACACTATGCAGAGAAGGGAAGGGACAGTTTGCATGTTCTCCCCAGCTCCTAGCTCATGGCTTGCAGAAAGGGAGACCAAATCCACAGAGACAAAGTGAAAGCTGGGGATTCCAGAGGGCTTCAGGAAAAAATACAGTGGTAGAACAGACCAGCAGGGGTGTGATCTGCAGGGAGAGTGTGGGATTCTGCTCCCACATGAGTCCTTCACCAGAAAGAGCTGGTGAGTGACTCCAATTCAAGTGCCCAGCATACCCATGAGGAGAGTGGTTGGTTGGCTGCCATTCCAAGGAAAGGTTGATTGTTTGATCCTGAGACTCAGTGGCCACAGGACAGCTTCACTTCAAGGCTCCCAGTGTTACAGTCCCATAGTGACTGTGTGAGAGATAGCCACAAGAGACAGCTGTGGTCAGAGAGCAGGTTGGAAAAAAACCTCCTAAGGGCTTTGAGTTAAAGAACACAAGCCTGCACCCACAGCCAGCAGCTACCAGCCAGGTTCAGCCTCAGTTGCTCTAGATTTGAAAATCATAGCATTAGTACCTTCATCTTAATCCTACTGCCTGCTGGTACCTGCATCCAGCAGGGATCTGGTCTTTGCCTGCCTTCTTTATCTATCGGGAGGATCAGGGACATGTCTTGACTTGGACACTGCCCTAAAGTTGTGGATCCTAACAGAAAACCACACATTTGAAATCAAAGAAAAATTTCTTTTTTTCCCCCTCTTTTTGGGTGAGGGGTGAGTGTGTGTGTGTATGCTGTTTTTGTTGTTTTCTTTGTTATTGTTTCTCTTTCTCCTTTCTTCTTCACTAGTTTATTGTGGTTTAATGAGTTTTCATGTGTCTTTCCTTGCTTACCTCTTTTTCTTACTTCTTTTTCCTTTATTTTTCCTCTTCACCCTTTTAATTTTTCTCTCTTTAAATTTTCCTCTTATTTTTACTCCCTATTTCATTTCTTTTTTTCTCTCACTTTTTATTTTATCTTTCTTCTTCCCATATATCATTTAAGGTTTCAAATATTTCTTTTTGCATTTCCCCATTCCCAACCCCCTGTATCTTTAGGAGTGTTACCATAAAGCTTTATTAATCTTAGGTAGCTAACTCCACAATATGATTATTGAATTCTTTTCTACCAATAGCAGAGATAGAGTTGTCACATTTAGTACATATTAGTTCTAAGACAATACTTATGTTGTCTTATGTCTACAACATAACTGTGGATTCCTTCCATAGGGTTAAGGGTGGTACATAATTAGTTCTTATGATATGTTAATATTGAATTTGAATGATACTACTGTAGCTGATGTTTGATATTATTAAGGTTGCATATTGTTCTTTGTAAGCCAACATTCAGATTACCTTCAGACATTAACAGTATCAGAATACATTCCAAGTGAAATTAGCATTAAGTTAATTACAGTGCATCCTACCCTCCCAAATTAACCAACGTGCTTGGATCTTGGGGCTGAGTTAAAGCATTATAGTAAGACACGACCAAAGTACATCACTGAAAAGTGACTGACTAAAGAAAGCTCTGTACTAGCAACAAAGACTTTACACTATAAGTGCTGACAAAACAGCACAAAACATAACAAAAGCAATAGAAACATGAGAAGACAATAAAATCCCTCCCCAAACTCCCAGTTCCCCAGAAGCCAATGCAGTGGGCACTGAGAGGAGAGAATAGCACAAGCCACACAACCAAATTACTTAAAAACATAACAGAGAAGGTCAGAAAATAGATAAGAGGAACTCAGTGAGATCACAGAAGACATAACTAAATAGATAATGGAAGTAATAATCAAATGATCCAAGAACTTTCAGAAGACACTAATAAAAAGCTAGCTGAGCTACACAAAGCAATGCAAACATGAATGACCATCTTAGTAAACCGAGTTTATAACAAGGACTCAATCAGAAATCTAGGAAATTAAAAAAATATATTGAAAGTATGATGACCAAAAGCAAACAATGTGAGGACAAAATTTCAGAACTTAAGGACAATGATATCTTCAAAGACCAACTACTGAAAGACACCTTAAAAGCAATAAGAGAACATCAAAAATGGATCTAAGAGTTGCCAAATGACAGAAAGATAACTAATCTAAAAGTAACTGGAGTAAGTGAAAATTCAGAAGACAACACAAGTGGCATAAAAAGCCTATTCACAGAAATAATGGGAGAAAACTTAACAAATATAAGCGAAGAAATAAACATGCACATAAGTGAGGCATATAGAGCCCAAATAGTCACAGCCAAAAGAGAAGCTCTCCTTATACTTTATATTACAAGTATCAGAAGTCTATTACAGGAACAAAATCTTAAAAGCTGTTACAGAAAGACAACAAATCACATATAGACATAGACCCATCAGAATTATAGCACACTTCTCAACACAAATTTTTAACATGTTCTCTATTGATTGAACTAGTAGTGGTGGCCCAGATACAGGTCAGTGGCACAGTGCCTACCTTGTAAGGGTGAGGTCATGAATTTGATTCCTGGTACCAAAAGAAAGAAAGAAAGAAAGAAAAGAACCAGTAGTGGTACATGCATGACTGTCCCATCAGGTAGCATGTACTACCCCATGGGACTCTACCATGCTGTATGACGGGACAGTTATACATATACCACCAGTGGCACACAGCTGCCCGACAGTGAATTATATGAATTACAACCCTGTCATGAACATGGTAGATGGCAAGAGGGCTTAGAGTAAAATGTTTCAAGTCCTGAAAGATAACTTCAAACTCCAACTTATGCATCCTACATCATTTTCCTTCAAAACTGACAGAGAAATAAGGTATTTCTGTGACAGCAAGCACTTCAAGAAATTCATGACCACCAAACAGCACTACAAAAAATTCTCAAGGAGGGTTGAGGGTATAGCGCAGTGGCACAGTGCCTGCCTGGCAAGCACATGGTCCTGAGTTCATTTCCTGGTACCAAAAAAATAATCTCAAAGATATCCTAGAAAGAGATGATAAAACCAGTGATGCCAATGGGTCAAAAAGAATGAATACACCTGGCAGGATGAGCAGCTAAACAAAAAGAAAAAAAATTGGCAACAGGAAAATAAAGAATAAGTCAATATCTTTTGGCAATAACTCTATGTGAATGGTCTCAATTTCCCAATTGAAAAGCAAAAGCTGGCCAAATGGATCAAGAAACAAAACCCGTATTTAATTCAAAAAGAAATTCATGGGTTAAAAATCAAAATAATCCATCCAAAGGGAAACTGGGAAAAAATCAAAAGTAGCTATTCTAATTTCAGACAGAGTGGGTTTCAAGTCAAAACTAATCATGAGAGACAAAGTCACTATATGTTTGTTAAAGGAACAATTCAACGGGAAGTGATAACCACTATAAACATATATGCACCAAATACCAGCATGTTCAACTTCAAAAAACAAACACTAATGGATATGAAAAATCAGATAAACATTAATATAGTTGTAATGGGGGACCTCAGTAATGCATTATCACAAATTAACAGATGAACTACACACACACACACACGCACAAAATCAACCAACAAATATCAGAGTTTAACCAAACTTTCAAACAAATGCACTTAGTAGATATCCAGAGCATTCCATCCAACTACAGAATATACATTCTTCTCATCAGTACATGGACTTTCTCCAAAATAGACCACATATTAGCCACAAAGCATGCTTAAATGCAAAAGAATCAAACTTATTCCATGCATATTGTCGGATCGTAGTAAAATGAAACTAAAAATTGATAGCAAAAGAAGCCACAGAAACTATGAAAACATGGAAATCCAATCAACACTCTCTTGAATAACTGATGGGTGACAAATGAAACCACGGAAGAAATTAGACAGTTTCTACAATCAAATGATAAAACCAGTATGAAAGCAGTCCTAGAGGGAACTTTATAGCAATGAATTCCTGCATCAGGAAATCATCAAGATCAAATAAATACCTAATGATGCACCTCAATCTCCTAGAAAAACAAGAATACAAATTCAAACTAGTGCAAGGAAGAAAATTATAAAGATCTGAGTTATTGGAAATTAATCAAATTGAGAATAAAAATGAATATAAAGAATCAGTGAATCAAAGAGTTATTTTTTTAAAAATAAACCAAATTCACAAATCTTAGCCAATCTTACCAAAATAAGGAAAGAAAATCCCATACAACAAGAAATGAAAAATGTA